CCCGGGACGCGCACAGCCCGCCCGGGGCCGCTACAAAAACCTTCGACACCGCCTCGGTCAAGTCGGAGAACTCGGAGGACGGCTCGTCCTGGATCCCTTCGGAGGCCGGGAGATACTCCCCGCCGCCAAGTGAGTATCTCCGGGATGCGCGGAGATAAATAAACCTCCATCCTCTGTTTTATACCCTAAATCCACATCCAAGGGGCCCAGGCCGGGTCGGATGGGGCCCTGAGCGAGCTGGTCTAGGGGAAGGTGTCGCTGCCTATGAGAGATGATTTTTAAAGAGATGATTTCTTTTAAAGAGATGATTTTTAAAGAGATGATTTTTAAAGAGATTATTTTTTAGAGATGATTTTTTTTAAAGAGATTATTTTTAAAGAGATGATTTTTAAAGACATGATTTTTAAAGAGATGATTTTTAAAGAGATGATTTTTAAAGACATGATTTTTAAAGAGATTATTTTTTTTAAAGACATGATTTTTAAAGAGATGATTTTTAAAGAGATTATTTTTTTTAAAGACATGATTTTTAAAGACATGATTTTTAAAGACATGATTTTTAAAGACATGTTTTTTAAAGACATGATTTTTAAGCTCCTTTCCAACCTAAAACATTCTGCGATTCCGCTATACTTTTATAGATATTCATACGCTTGTCGTTTTTAGGTATACGATACATATTTGTTATTATATTATTATGTATTGTTATTATATTATTATGTATTGATAGAGTGACTACCATGTATTTACATACGTGACTACACGGATGTACATGAATATAGACATGTATATGAATATTGACCTGTACCTGAATTTAGACCTGTACCGGAATTTAGACCTGTACCTGAATTTAGACCTGTACCGGAATTTAGACCTGTACCGGAATTTAGACATGTATATGAATTTAGACCTGTATATGAATTTAGACCTGTATATGAATTTAGACCTGTACCTGAATTTAGACCTGTATATGAATTTAGACCTGTACCGGAATTTAGACCTGTACCTGCATTTAGAGCGGGTTTAAAGCCTTGAAAAGATCAGAAATCACCAGGGACCAGTTCCCTGTCCCGGCTGGCGGCCCCTGGCAGTCCATTGATGTGATCCCATCGCAGCAAAAAGTGGAATTTCTCCCCGTGCCTTTCTCAGCAATCTCATAAACTCGGGAATTGTCCCTTCCAGCTTTGGGCTGGCTGCCGGCCCGGCGGGGTCTGTGTGTCCATCCCTGCTTGCAGAGCCTGTCCAAGCTCCCCAAATTGTTGGTGAGCTTTTGGGGACCCGCGATGCCCCCGGAGCTGTCCCCAGCCCTGGGGACACGGGGTGTGGAGGGGACAGGACACCGCCCAACCCCCGCTTTCGGTGCCATCCCTTAGGGAAAAATTAAAATAAAAAATAAAAAAAAAACCAGGGGAAAAAATTGTTTTTAAGGAATGAAAAGCTCCAGGAGAAGGGGAAGGAACATCCCGGCCGTGTCCGCACACCTGTGTCGGGATTTATCCGCGCATCCCAAACTTCCCTGGTGGAAATTAAATACTCTGCTTTATCTAAATTAGACGCTTTACAGGCGTGAAGCGTCTCACGGAATTTACTCCTCAATCTAATATTGCGAGAGGAAAGTTTAGTGCTGTTACAGCTTTCCTTTTTTTTTTTTTTCCCCCACAAGAATTTCGATTTGGCTTTCATCCACTTCCTTTCCTTTATGATAACCCCGAATTCATTTGATTTCTATCGTGCTAGGAGAGGACAGGAGGAAGGTGGCATCCCCCCTGTGACATTCCCTGTGTAGCTCCAGTTTTCAATTTTCACATTCTCTCAAATGTGCTGGAAAAACATGAAAAAAAATAAAACGCGTTTGCCCCTGCTTGGACCCCTTCTCTAAATCTGCCCAAAACCCCAGACTTAGACACGGCCTAATTTTTTATTAGTAATCCCACTACATTTTTTCCCCCTTCGAAATTCCTCCTGTTTCTCTTTGAAAATTGTTGGTTCTCGGGATCGGTAAAATGGTTTTGTAAAGGATTTGGGTAGCTGGGAGTTCCCGTGACTGGAGAGGGATTTGGGGAGAAAACTGAGGATCAGGGAAGGGAACTTGGTCCTCCTGCCTCGAGGATTTTTCTCATTTCCCACCTCGGCAGGAGGCAATGACCGATCCTCCCTCCTGTCTGCGGAGAGTTTTGACATGAAAAACAACCCCTCGATTTATTTTTATTTTATTTTTATTATTATTAGTAGTATTAGTATTATTATTAGTATTGGTATTAGTATTATTATTAGTATTGGTATTAGTATTGGTATTAGTATTGGTATTAGTATTATTAGTATTATTAGTATTATTAGTATTATTAGTATTATTATTAGTATTATTAATATTACGGGCGGGATGAGCCAGGGAAAAAGCTGTAAGAGTTCAAATTTTGAGGAATACGGAGAGGGAACCCTCCCCAAATGATGATTTTTGTCCGATATTGGCTGGGAAAAGGAGGATAAAGAGGAAAAAATCCAGCAAAAATCAGCGAGGGTTTGGGGGCTGGCAGGGGATAAACACAATTCCAGGGTCCCTGCTGCTCCTCAGAGCTTGGAAATCCCTCGGGGGGCAGCGAGGGAAGGAGCCTGGGAATGCTGGGGTGTCTCCTGGAGAGAATATTCCCGGATTTCATGGAAAAGCTCCTTTTCCTTGCATGCCAGGAGCCGGGGAAGGCGCTGGGACAGGGAACCACGGCCACCTCCAAACCCTGTCCCTGCTGGAACAGCTCAGTCCTGGCAGTTCCCTTCGGGAAAAGAAACCAGCAGCGGCAGGGAATGCAGGCTCAGTTTGTGTAGTTTTCATTTAGAGCGCTTTTGTATTATGCTTTCAGTATTTGAAAAGTTGTTTCCTAGAAAAACTTTATTTTTTAAAATTTTTTTTTCAGTATTTCAGTATTTTTTTCTTCTAGAGGAAGAGCAATAAGAGAAGTTTAACTTTTCCTGCTCTGTTTTCTCCCTCCCTTTTCTGAACTTTAGAACAATTCCCTCATGGGATTTTTTTTTAATTGCATGAAACGTGCTTAAACATCTTCTTAATATAAAATAAGTACAGAAAACCCAAAGTGTAAATACTGACAAGCACTTGAAGCAGACACCAGAGTGTGAACAAAATTCAGCAGCCAGGGTGACTTGTCCTGTGTCCCAGGAGTGACCAAACACAGCCAAATTCTGGAGCTTTTGAAGTCAGCCGCCTGCTTTTGAGTTATTCTTTAGATTGCAAAATTATTAGTGAAATACTAAATTAATCTTAAGGCAAGTCAGAGCTCTGCCATCCCGGGAATATTGCCTAACCTGGTTGAGGTTTAAGGCAGGCACAAAAGGTAGTGGATTTTTCTGGCTTTTGTTGGCCACAAAATGCTGAAGTTTTGTCTGGCCTTTGTTTTATTTTTTAATTGGCGAATGTCATAAAAGTTAAATGTTGAATTAAAAGAGCACTGCTTATTTGAGTTTGTTGGGGGTTTTTTATACTGGTTGATAATCAGAAAACACCCACTGAAAATCCAAATTAATAAGCAGAGGGAAAACTTGATTTAGAAGAAAAAATAGCAAGAAAAAATGTCCAGTTAGCAAAACCACAAAACCCGTCAGACCTTTTTCAGCTGTCACTTGTTGTGCTTAGTGGGGAAATCCTGGAGCAGGGCTGGGCTCTCCTCTTGCCCCCCTTGTCCTTTTGGGAACCTCCAAAGATTTTTGTGGCGTTTGTGCTTTCCTGGAGCTGTGCAGCAGCCGAGGCTGTTGGTTTGTGAGCTCCAGACCCTTGTTAAGTGACTCCCAAAGTCACCTGTGAATTCTCTGTCCCTTTTGAAATCGCTGAGGCAAAATTTCCCTTCCCAGCACATCAGCTGAAGCGCTGTGAATTTAAGTTTGGGCAGGAAAAGATTTCCAGAGTGGCTTGCTGAAGGATGTTTGGAGGGGATCCCTGGGACAGGCAGCAGAGCTCCGGGGTGTCCCTGCTGCTGTGATAACCGGCTCTCCCTTCCTTGCAGGACACCTGAGCCCCACTGCCTGCACCCTGAGGAAGCACAAGACGAATAGGAAGCCCCGAACCCCATTCACCACCTCCCAGCTGCTGGCTCTGGAGCGCAAGTTCCGCCAGAAGCAGTACCTGTCCATCGCCGAGAGAGCCGAGTTCTCCAGCTCCCTCAACCTCACAGAGACCCAGGTCAAAATCTGGTTCCAGAATCGGAGGGCCAAGGCCAAGAGACTGCAGGAGGCCGAGCTGGAGAAGCTCAAAATGGCAGCCAAGCCCATGTTGCCGTCGGGGTTCAGCCTCCCTTTCCCCATCAACTCCCCGATCCAGGCTGCCTCCCTGTACGGCACATCCTACCCCTTTCACAGACCTGTGCTTCCCATCCCGCCCGTTGGACTCTACGCCACTCCCGTTGGATACAGCATGTACCACTTATCCTAAGAAGATCCCACAGACAAAGCCTCAGACAGACAGACAGACACACAGACAGACTTCCTGGTGGATCCTGTCCAGCCCTGAGAAGGCAGAACCCCAACCAGTACCGGCCATTCCTTCTGCACGCTTCTATCTGGCATCCTGAGTTGTCTGGGAGTTTGCTACGGGTTGGGCGTCTCCTGAGAGTGCTCTGAGCACTCAGAGTCTGCTCCTCAAAGCAAAAAAAAAAAAAAAAAAAGGATGGGTGAAAAAGCAATTTTATCATAAGGAGGCAGAAATTCCCTGACACCTCCCTGGCGGGGCCCACCGTGGCTTCAGAGTGAGAGGGGTGCATGCCCTCGAGCCACGCTCTGAGTTGCCATCACTTTCACATGGGAGCAGGGGGGAGGGAAATAAAAAGGTCTAATGGAAGTTTTGTTGTTTGGTTGTTTTTTTAAAGACAGCAGAGCCCGTAGCTAGAGACGTGTAAATAGAAACTAGAGCCGGTAGAGTCTCAGTGAAGTTCAGAGCCAGCAAATTCCTGCTTTTCTGGGGGGAGGGCTGAGTTGTGCATCCTGAACCTCGGCCAGATGAGCAGCAGGACCCCAAAATGTAGAGGCCAGCTTTGCCCACCGTGGCTCCTGTAGTGCCTTTCTGTGTAGAAATAGCTTCAGCTTTTGGAAAGCACTGGCAGGGGAGGTGAAGAGCAAGGCAGGGTTCTTAGGCTGGTTTTTATCTCTTCCTATTGGCATGCTTAGAAATTTTTAGCTGGAGCCAGGTAATTTTGGCTCTGCAATGCTCTTGGGAAACCTGGAGAGAGGGGAGAAACACATGGGTTGTTCCCATAAAGGGTTGTTGAATCCTCCTGGGGGATGTTACAGGGTTTTTATTATTTGTATTTGCCACAGCCTGTGTTAAAGAAAGTTTCCCCTGAGTTTTCTTCCGTTCTAAGGGTGCCAATAGAAGTGACTCGTGCTTTAAGCCCTTCCAGAGAGAGATCTGGGTGTCCCAATCAGCCCCACGAGTGGACAGTGGGGTGACAGAGACTGTGTGACCTGCCTGTCCCCGTGGGAGCTCTGGCAGCAGCTTCCCCAGGCTTCTCCTTGTAACTTTTGTATTCTTTGTATTACTCTTGCTAAACTTTATGAGGAAGTTACTCCCAAGGCTGTGGAGCACTGAAGTCAGAGCTTCTCCTGGATTTATTTTCTTAGCATGCTGTTGTGGAGGAAAGAAACAAAAAGAAAAAAAAATCAGAAAAAAAACCAAAATGGAAAGAAAAAAGAAAGTCACGAGGTTTTGCTGGTTTTGGTTTGTTTTGAGCCAGGCATTGATGCCGCCTGGGACCCAATATAGATGAACTTCCTCTCTCCCTTCCCCTCACCCCTGATCTCCCATTATAGGAGAATCCCTTTGAAAGGGATGCCTTGTACAATTTTATATATTTTATTGAAGATTTATTATTTCTTATCTCTTATTTCGAATTAAATTAAAAAAGAAAAAACATGTTTAATCGCGTGTGGGTCTGTCAGTGTTTGGAGTCCTTTGAAAGGTGCCTTCTCTCCGTGTGTGTTTTGCACCGCTGGGTCAAGTTCAAAGGAATGTTTGGATTGCCTTTATGATTATTTCCCCTTTCCCAATCTGATTTAAAGCCAAATTTGCAGCGCATGAAGGTGAATTGCAAGTCAACATTTCAGAGTCAAAAGCCAAAGCTTTTATGAGGTTTCCTTGTTTTTAACAACCGCTTTTAGGCGCCTCTGTTCTTTACAGCACCGGTGATGTTTCCATCACTTTTAGCTCGTGTGCCTTTCCCTTTCCTTGGGAATTCTCCATCCCACCTCAGCCCTGAGCTTTAGAGGGAGATGGGTCTGGACTCGTGAAGGATTTGGGGGAGAATTTGGGCCAGGTAAAACCTGGGGGGGGCCTGCAGTGCTCCAGCTGCGTTTCAGGGCACCAGGGTGCTGCGCTGAACCAGTTTTGGGCCAGGCTGGGAGAGCAGGTGCTGGATCACCCTCCCCTGGCGAGGGGGGCTCGGATAAGAGCCGGGGGGACCCTGGCACACCCGAGTGCCACCGCATGGAAATGTCACAGGAGGGCTCTTAGGGTTAGGAGGGGGCCCGGGCACAAACCAGGTGTGTTTTCCCCCTGACCGGGGTGTTTGGCCCCTGACCAGATTTTTTGCCCCCTGACCGTGATGTTTTCCCCCTGTACAGAGTGTTTTCCCCTTGTCCAGAGTGTTTTCCCCCTGAGCGGGTGTCTTTGCTCCCTGACCGGGCTGTTTTCCCCCTCTGCGGCTTGTCCCGGGTGCGCTCTCCCCGCTCCGGGCGTGCGGCTCCCGCAGGCACCGCCGCTGGAGCACCGGCAATTCTCCATCCCCCAGGCACATCCCGGCTGCCCCAGCATCCCGCCGGATCGGGATGGAAAGGCTCGGGGAATGAGACATTTGGCCAGCCGGGCTTGCGGCTCGCCCTGCTCGCCCTTCTCCGAACTCCCAAAAAAAAAACCCCTGGTGACCCTCCCGCTTCGGAAATGTCGGGAATAAATCTGGGGGAGAGCCCGGTCTTCAGGGGGGTTCTTCAAATTAGCATTTACCGCCGCATAAAAACGGGAAAAATCCTCTTCTTTCCCGGATTCCCTTTTCCCAAAGCATCATCCCCCGAAAGCCAGGGCAAGGCGAGGTCCCCCCGGCCCTGCCCTTTCCCGGCCGCTTGTCCCGAGTGTTTCCTTAGCCGGGCTGGGCTATAAATAAACCAGCGGTGTTTTTTAACCTTCGGTATAAATCAGCTGTGTCAGGGATTACGGCTAAATCTTTTTGCTGGAAATTCTTTGAGCGCGGGAGCTTTGCGTGTGTTATGATAGATCCCTAAATGGATACAGATTTATTGCGGCACACAAGAGTGTTGAAGGAAAAGCTTCCAAATCTCCTTTACAACCTCAGCTATGGGAAAGGCAGGAGGGATCCGTGACACCTTCTCGGAGCCTGCGGATGGCATGACAATTCACCCTGCGCCCATTATTAACTTGTTCCAATTAAAGCCTTCAGAAAGGCCGAGTTAATTGAGTATTATATTTTATTAGGAGGGAGGTGTCAAGCTTTACTCATGAGACTTCATCATCGTCCTAATGGGAGCTGCCCCGCAGGCAGATCTGTAACTGAATAAATTACAGCGAGGCAGGGAAATCAGAATGCTATCATTAAAAGCGATGCACTTACTGAAATTCCTCCCCCACTTTCGCAAGAGGCTGGGGAGGTGTGGCTTTAATTAGTTATTTTAATGCAAAGTTAAATTGTTCCCAAAGTATTTTCTGACACAAAGCAGATGCGATGATTAGAAGTTGAGTGAGACTGAAAGGAGTTGGCATCTGTTCCAGGTACATCTATATATTTTAAATTCCCAATAGAAAGTGAAAAATAATTAGAGCAATAAATAATAAACATTAAAAACAACGCGATAAATTATCCCGATCCTTCAAACCCGGACTTGCTGAGCGGCGGCTCAGGCCAGGCGGGCACAGCGCGGCTCTCCCGGGACCTTCGGTCACCGGGGATGGATTTGTTGACAAAAACATTTGGGATTGGGTTTTTCTGCCTCGCTCCGGCCAAGCGTTCATTACCTAAAGCCACTCCGAGCCTGCATTTCATGTTGTCGCATTGCCTTGTCACAGCCCGGAATTCCTGCGTTTTATGGAGAGAGAGGAAAACCGAGCGTGGCCGGGAGAGAGGGGAATTCTGTCCGTGGGTGCCTGCTGCGGGCACCGAGCGAGCCCCGAGACACGGACCTGGGGATGGGATGGGATGGGGATGGGGATGAGGATGAGGATGGGGATGAGGATGAGGATGAGGATGAGGATGAGGATGAGGATGAGGATGAGGATGAGGATG